CAAACGAAAACATTCTGTTACGTCTCGATTCATTTGAGAAGCCATATAAACAACTCGAGCTCGTGTCTCACCGGGATATCCAAACACTCGAAAACAAGGTATGAAAACACTCGGGCTTCGCGCTCGTATTTTCATACGTTGTTTTCTCGTGTTTGGATATCCCGGCGAAACACGCGCTCTCATTGTTCATATATTACTTACAATACTAAGTTTAATTATAGAAGAAATCGTTGACAAAATTATATATTTTTGACGAATGATCCGCCTGTACAAACCTGCGCAAACAGAAATACCTGCTTGCATTGATACTGTGTATATTAACGGGGCAAAACAAAATTCGTTCACGAATTAAAACGAATAATCTGACGCGTAGCTCCTCTAGACAAACGTGCTACTGCACAATCTTGGACATAACTCTTGAAATCATTGCAGTCGATATTGCAACGTTATTGCACATTTATCAAAAGAAACTTAGTCAAACCCCATAAGGCGAACGTATTTTGATCTATCTGGGAACCAACTAGAAATATGGAAAACTTTCTGGGAGTATATTAGTCGTTAAGCCAATTAAATTTAAAAAATGAGAGATCAAAATAACTACGACGATCTTCATGTTTTGTGGTATGTAGTAAACTTGCTGCTCAATAGACCAAATATGAAACGTGTAGTTGTTTAATCTCCAAATTTTCTGAGAAGTTCCCCAGTTCCACCACACGTCATTTTTCACCTCGTATCCGCAGTTCAGTGTTGTGAACGGCGCCGAAACAACTCTTGGTAATTTACAATGACGCAAGCTCAACATTGAGTTGGGGGAGCGGGGCGCAACATGATTCAACATGGGATTTATTATAAAGGGGATACTTATTTGGTATAGAGGGAAAGGTAGTCTCAACCAGTTTTGTCCAAAATTGTAGCAGCCTGCACTCGGTGTCATAACATCGCACGATGTCGTATGAGACTGCGCGCAGGCTAAGATTGTAAGCAGTTGACGTGGTTATAATCTTGAAAGGTCTGTGTCAGTGTAGGTAGTGACAATAATAAGAAAACGTTGGATTGATAGGGATGCAGATACCTGGAAAATACCAGGAGAACTTTGACGTTTCAAGCGAAGGCCTTTTACATGAACTTTTATGTAAGCAATCACGTGAGAACAATAGACCAATCTGATGAATTTAGTCAAAAAAATTTACATGATTGCCCAGTCTTTGTTGATTGATGATCCTTTTATACATGGGTATATATCAAACATTAAACTTACAAGACGAATTTTGTTGTTTCACGACCTTAATCAGTATATGTGATGAAGTGGATATACTGTAGTTATCGACCTAGGAATCGCCGGGGTTAGGTTAACCTGAAGTTCAGGCCCTAATCACAGAATAGGGCCTGACACAAAACCTATCTAAAGTGTGGGATTCCCGTCCATCTGGTGGACGGGAAATCTGATTGGTTGATCAGCATCATGAAGGATTTTGATTGGTTGCAAGTTTACA